AGTGGCCACAGGCGGGAGGGCGCGCTAGGGGCGGCCCCGGGACTATCCCGCAGTTGCAGCCGCCGCGAGCTTTCCAGAGCGGGTGATCTGTGCTGGCTGCAAAGGGGCCGCTCCCAAAGGCCGTCCACAGACGGACTAGGGGAGTCGTGGGTTGTGGGGGGCGCAGGGGGCGGGCTGCGGGCTGCTCCCGCGCCGCGCGCCGCGCGCCGGCGGAGGGCCAGCTGGACAAGGCGCCTGCGTGCTCCTGGCGCGCTGCTCCCACTCGCCGCGTCGCGCTGGGGGCCGGAGGAGGCCTAGCTGAGAGCCTGCTCCCGAGGCGGCTCTTCCTGTGCTTGCAGCCCCCGCCTCCCACCTGGGAAGCTGCACCTCCAGCCGCCGCCGCCGCCGCCACCGCCGCCGGGACTGCAGCACGCCCTCCTCCCTCGGGGCTGCGCCGGGTAATTGCAAGCTGAGTCTGTGCTGCCCCCTGCCGGCCAGAGCGCCCCCCACTGCTGAAGGTGTGCTCACGTGTGTACACGTAGGTGAGCACACACGTGTTTCCGGCGCCCTGAGCCCTGGAGACGCCAGAGAGTCGTCCCTCGCTGGGTTGGGAAAACAAAACTGCACACCTTCCAGGAAGCCTTGCAATGGAGAGCAGACATGGAACAGTATTAAATGATGACCCTCAATTTCTCTTTCTGGGAAAGGAAATGGGTGAGGTAGGCAATCTTCAAGGTCTCTCTGCATCTTCTGAAATTCTGTCGGTTTTGGATATCGGAGTTGGAAGGGCCATTGCAGACCAATTAACTCATTGCAGATAAGGAAAGAAACTGAGGTCGGTGAGGTGGAGAGAATACTTCTCCAACATACTGCAGCCAGGAACTCATGCCCTGTATTGAGGCAAAGATCTGCATAAGTAGCCATAGCTGAAAAAAAGCTGTTAAAGGCTGAACAAATTACTGGAGAGCAGAGCAGAACTGAAGCCCCCCAAATTAGTAAAGGACACAATTAGCATACTCCAAGCAAAGGGAATTGTTTATAAACAATGTCTCTCTGATGTACAGGTATGCTTCAGGAAATGTGGTGGTTGTTCAGTGAATACAATTGTAAAGGAAGAAAGATGTGCCAGACACAGCTAAATCCTTCACAACCATCATCTCATTTAATCCTCGGGACAACCCAGTCTGATAGACACTGTTATCCCCACTGTACAGAGAAGGAAACTGAAGCTTACAGAGTTTAAGGGACTTGTTCCAGATTCCACTGCTCATACAGGCTGGTTCATCTGGCTCCAAAGCTGTTGCTCCTAACCATTGGCTCTACAGCCAGGCTGAGGCATTGATGTGACTGTCAAGTCAGTGAAGGTTTCTGATGAGACCTGGACCAAGGCAGTGTCTGCAGTAAAAGACAGAAAAAGGGAAGGATGAATTCAGGAGACATTGCAAAATAGACATGTATTGAGGACCATGCACTGTCTCAGGTGGTTTCATGGGTGATAAACAATATTAAATATCCTCATTGATTTAAGTGGAGATTAGAACTTTAGAAAGTAATATCCTTGCCCAAGGTCTCAGAGCTCCTGAGTGGCAGCAACCAGTGCCTTCACTTGTCCTAGTGGTCCCCTTAGAACACTATTGTCTACCTTGTCATGAATGGACACAGAAGGCATCAGCAATCATTTCTCAGAAACTCATTCTGCTTCCTGCCATGAAACTGAAACTGAATAGTAATCCACCAGCAAGTCTGTGTTTGGAGTAGCCCAATTCTGCTTACTGATTTCTAAGGATAGCCCATTTCCTGATACACATATCAAGTCTATCCTGACTCATAGTGACCATGTTGGGCTATAAGCTGCAAGGTTGTCGGTTAAACCCCACCAGTCACTCTGAGGGGAAAAGATGAGACTATCTGCTTTAGAGAAGTCCTAGTGTGGTGCTCTGGGATAAAGCGCTGGACCAGAAGGTTGATTTGAACCTCAAGGTTGGTGGTTCAAATTCACCAGCCACTTCCTGAAAACCCTATACAGGGTCACTATGAGTTGGGACTGACTCAAAGGCACTTAACAACAACATCTGCTTTAGAAACCCTAAGGCGTCGTTCTACCCTGTTCTACAGGGTTGATATGATTTCCTGCTATAGCCTTACTATATTATAAACCCAGGAGTGCAGTGATAGACTGAATAATGGTCCACATCTTAATCCCCAGAGTCTATTAATATGTTACCTTACATGGTAAAAGGGACTTTGCAGATGAGATTAAGTTAAGGCTCTTGAGATGATGAGATGGTCCTGGATTATCCAGGTGGGCCCAGTATAATCACAAGGATCCTTATTAAAGGTCTTACTTATCTAATGCTGGTGGTGGTGGTGGCTGTGTGCCGTTGAGTCGGTTCTGACTCATAGCGACCCTGTACAGGGTTTCCGAGGCTGTAAATCTTTACGGGAGAAGAACACCTCATCTTTCTCCCGCGGAACAGTTGGTAGTTTCGAACTGCTGACCTTGGAGTTCGCAGCTCTGTTCGTAACCACTACACTACCAGAGTAACAGAAATATCAAAAGTGAATGTCTTTAACAACCAGAACTTGAGTCTCTCACAGTCCAGGGAGCTCGAAGTCCACATTCACAGTGCTGGCTCTTGAGAAAGACTTTCTCTTTCTTGGTTCTGGGGAAAGGTGCTTGCCTCCGTTTAGCATGTGTAACCCCAGTATTCCTTGAAGATCTTCATTCCCCTTGGCATCAATCTTCCCCAGGCTCTAGGAGCGTCACAGTGCAGGGACCCCAGGTTCAAAGGATTCACTTTACTCCTGGCTCTTCTGTCTTAGTGATAGGAGGTCCCTCTTTCATGTCTCTCTTATTTTAATCTTTTGTAAGATAAAAGGTGGCGCATGCTACACCCTTGTGAATCTCCCATAAATTGTGTCAGGGTGGTGATGGAATTAAGGGTTGTGTCCCACCCTTAATCTTCTTATTGGTTTATCATATCAAATCACATCATGGTGAATCCTGGTCCAATCATGTTGACACAGAATCTTAACTATCACAAGAGGGAAGCAGCAAGATCAGAGAAGACGTGCCAGCAGAAGCAGAGGTCAGAATGATGTGGCCAGGAGACAACGAATTGCATGAACCCCTAGAAAATACAAGGGACAGATTCTCCCCTAGAACCTTGAGAAAGAAAGCAGCCTTTCATTTTAGCCCTTTAAAAGCCATTTTGCACATCTGACTGCACCTTCCCCCCCAGATTGGAAGATAATAAATGTCTGTTGCTGTACACCATAAATTTGGAGGTAATTTGTTCCAGCAATAGAAAACTAACACAAGGGCAATATTTTGTTGTTGTTAAGTGCTATCAAGTCGATTCCGACTCATAGCGACACTGCATAGGGTTTCCAAGGAGCAGCTGGTGGGTTTGAACTGCTGATCTTGAGGTTAGAAGTCCAGTGCTTATACTACAATGCCACAGGACTCCAAGTGCAGTATTAAGTGATATTAATTTGGTGCTTTACAGTTTCCAAAACCCTTTTTCACCCATGATCGTTGGCAATCTGTTTGTGCGGCCTTTCTCAAATCAAGCACCATTCAGATATGGGACTGTCATTCTCTCACACTACACTCTCAGCTCCACGAGAACAGGAATTCTTCTTATTCATCATTATGTTTCTTCTCAGCACCCCTTTATGAAGATGAAATACAATCCTGCTTATTGAATGAATATAGGCTTGTAGTGCATCTTCATGAAGGATAGGTATTGTGATGGAAAATGAAGATTGGAGTGGACCTGGAGCCAAACTCATATTTCCAACGGCAGATGCACACACTGTTAACAATACCATGTCCCTCCAGCGAACAGACATTGTGGGGTCATGATTGCCTGAGGACTTCAGATTGCTTTATGGACACTCCTCTGTGGTTAGCATTGTGGCAGCACTGGTACCCTACTGATCGCATCCAGTCCCCAACTCAATCACACCAAGCACTGCTCTCATCATCACACAGCAGAAAGCAAGGCACTCAAGTTTCCAACTCAGAATGCCAAGGTTTGATGAGCAAGTTTACATTGTGTCTGCTCACGGTGTTAGTTACGCGTTTTGATTATTGCTTTCTTAGTCTTTGCCTTTCAGACCTAAAAGTTTCTCTCCCTTTATCTGAATGCTATATCACTGGCCCTTCAAAGATTTTCAGTGCCTTTTCTTGAACCTCCTCTATGCCCAGTATAAGTGAGCCAGAGCTGCACACATACTCTGTTTATCAATGGACCACTCTATTCTGGGCCCTTTGGTCTTCAGATTATTATCAGAAATCCTAGTGTTTCACCTGCCTTTCTGTCTGTAGCCTTCTTGGACTGAAGTTCTCAGGAAATAGCCCATATTAACTGCCAGGTACTTTCCTTGGTTGTAAGCAGGAGTTTGACGCTATGAATTTGATCTCTAGCGTCACTTTCTGTCACTTCTTTGCCCACTTTCTTAGGTTCATGAGAACTGTGCACAGGGGAATTCTGTGTCATCAGCAAACCTTGGAGAGTTCCTTATGCCCTCCCTTCCTCCAGAGTAGTTTTACATGTTAATTAAGCAGTCCTTAGCACTGTCTCTAAGGAACTCTTCTTCAGAAATGTGCCATTTATCCCTATCCTTCATTTCCTGGCTCATTTCCTAGCCTCAACAAAATCGTGTCCTCATTCCATTGGACTCCACACAACCTCCCTTCCCGCCCCCCAATAGAACAAGATTACACTCTATATGTGTTCCTACTTACTCCCTTTGGAATTTACTCTTAGCATAAAAATGATTGAGAATTTACTGTGTGCCACAGAGCCTTCCCAATCCTCCCAAGTCCTTAATACATGTCAGTTTAACCTCTCTACTCTTATTTCACATTAATGAAAGCTATCATTAACTAAAGACTGTGGTTTCCGCCAGCCTGGCATACATTTTCCTTTTCTGGATTGCAACATTTGGATTAATCTGGACAACAACTTCTGTCCGATTCACAGGTGAAGCTGGTATCCAACATCCTACCTCAGGTGTCAATTTGTTGAACTGTGGCGGCTTGCATGGTGCTGTGACTCGGGAAGATATATCACCGGTATTTTAAATACCAGCGGGGTCACCCATGGTGAACAGGTTTCAGATGAGCTTCCCAATGAAGACAAACTAGGAAGAAGGAGAGACAAAGTACTTCCAAATGTTTAGTCACTGAAAACCTTATGAATCGCAGGGAAACAGTGTCAGCACCAGAATATTGACTAACAAAACATGATAAAGAGCACTAGACTATTGTAAGATATAGTGATGGGAGGTGAACCCCTCAGGTTGGAAGGCATTCCAAATATGACTGAGAAAGAGCTGCTTCCTCAAAGTAGAGTTGACCATGATGGCATGCATGAACTAAAGCCCTTGGGACCTTCATTTGCTGATGGGGCAGAACTGAACATGAAGAGAGTGTGGAATATATGAAATATGAATCTATGAAAATTAGAAATTGTCAAGAAAAATGAAATGGAGCATATAGACATCGATATCCTAGGCATTAGTGAGCTGAAATGGACTGGTATTGGTCATTTTGAATCTGATAATCACATGATTTATTATGCCAGGAATGACA